ACTCCTAACTAAAATGACAGTTTATGTGTTTGTTCAGCCTTTTCAGTAGTCTTCAATTTCTTAGAATCAATAGTAATGTGAATATTCTAAAAGCACCACATTTAGAATGCCCTTTGAGTTTCTTTGTGTTTTTCTCTTCCTCCTCTTGGTCCAAAAAGAGACTTGGGGTATCATACATAAATACATAGAATTTTCTTTTTTTTTAATATTTGATTTATTTATTCATGAGAGAGACAGAGGCAGAGACACAGGCAGAGGGAGAAGCAGGCTCCCTGCGAGGAGCCTAATGTACTTGATCCCAAGATCCCAGAATCAGACCTGAGCCAAAGGCAGATGCTCAACCACTGAGCCACTCAGGTGCCCCCTAGAATTTTCTTTTTTAATGGATAATGGGGGCAAAGGGAAACTAAATGTAAGAAAAAAAATAGTATAAAGCCAGAGGTTGAAAATCTACCAAGTCAGCACCAACTCCAGCAATGTGCTGGCAAACAAGACTACTGGGTGGACTTGGAATGATCCCTGGTGTCTGTAAGAGCAGAGAAGGCCTGGAGCCCCACTGGTTGTGGTCTGTCCTCATCAGGGTGGTAAGGGCCATCTCCCTCATTCCCACAGTGGCTGGAGACAGCAGACTCCCAAGCCCAGTGTGGAGGGCCCTCCAGATGGCTGCACACCTGCCCAGCTTGAGCTTTGACCTCTCCAGTGAGGTCTGGATCCAGCACCCTTGTTATTCTGAAATTGGCCTTTTTCTTCTTACTTTTCAAGATGCTTATATATAATCCGTGAAAAATAGTCTTGACAAACATTGTTAGGGTGTATGTACACAGTTTGTGGAACTGAAGGTCAAAATGGTGTTCTCACCATAGGGAAGGAATGACCCTCAGAAGTGATAGCCGTGGAGCTACTGGCAGAGGGATTGATGACAGGGGTAGGGAAGAAGCAAGCTTCCCTCCACCCTCCTGTTCTCCTCTGCCACCACCCCCAAGAAGGACACGGGCATGGAGAGGGAATACAGGTCCTTGGTCTCTTATCTGCAATTCCAAATCCCGGATTTTTTTTTTTTAAGATTTTATTTATTCGTGAGAGGCACAGAGAGAGAGGCAGAGACACAAGCAGAGGGAGAAGCAGGCTCCCCATGGTAAGCCTGATGCGGGGCTCAATTCCAGGACCCCAGGATCATGACCTGAGCCAAAGGCAGATGCTTAACCGCTGAGCCACCCAGGTGCCCCTAAATCCAGGATTTTTGATGCTCATTTTGTGGAAACCCTGACCTACCCTGATGTGAGGCTCCCAAGTGTCTTTCTTCACCCCTTTAATTCATCTCACTGTAGAAATAGTAGTGCCTTTGGATAACAAAGGCAACAAAACACTTGCTACCCTAGACCTCATTGAAAGTGGTAATCAATATTCGGCATGCATACCAGATTGCTTTGCAAAAATCTGAAAATTCTGGATTCCTGAAACCCATGTGGCCGCAGGAGTTTGAATCAAGGCTTCCCACCTCTTCCCTTGAGTGCAGGGACAGGACATAGCACTAGGGCACGTCTCTGCATCACCAACCAGCCTAGTGTGGTTCTGGTGTGACAGCCCCAATGAGCAGCACTCAGTGCAAGGAGTGCAGACAGCAGGACAGCAGGCCCTGGGCAGCTGGGAGGGATAATTATGCCATAGCTGCTAAAGAGCCCTGCCAACCTAGAGACCCTCCAAGCAGAAGGACCACTGCCAGACAGGGCTACTCAGAAGAGCTGTGCCCTGTCTTCCTGTGTGGGTTCTGCAGCACACAGCATCAGTTTCATCATGCTCAGCACAGAACCCTTTCCTGAGCTTTCTAGGGTCCTCCTACTGTTGTGCCTGAAGTTCGGATGGCAGCGAGGAGCCCATTGGCCATGTGTAGGCAGAGCAGGTGGGGGGAATCAGAGCCGAGCCAGGCAAGCCTTGGGTTCTGGGGCTGAAATCACCCAGCACTGCCTAGCACTTGACTTCAGCTTGTGATTGGGAAACAGGGATTCCACGTACCCACTCACTCATCCATCCATGCATGCATTTGTTCAGTGAATATTACTCCATTCCAAGTGTTGTGCCAGGGGCTGGGAACCATGAAGGAAACACATGGGATAGTCGTAGTGAAAATCCTTTAAAGTCGAGAGAGACAGAAGGAGGGAGGGATGGATAAATAAATAAATACATACATACATACAACCAGAGCTTCTGACCATTGTGTTTTACTGATATTTAGTATTCAGGGCACATGTCAACTTGCAGCATTTCCCCCTTGACAACAATATTTATTAGTTCTCTGCTGTCCATTGGGGAGGGGGAGGCAGGTCTTTGTATTTGAAAGTACTGGGTACTTGAAAGACTGATGCCTGTGCAACCTTTTGTTAAAGATAGATTGGTTGATTGATTGATTTGAGAGCTTGATTGATTGATTGATTTAAGAGCGAGAGTGTGTGTGTGCTGGAGCAGGGGGGAGGGGCAGTGGGAGAGGGAGAAGCAGACTCCCCACTGAGCAGGGAGCCGAATGTGGGTCCCAAGACCCTGAGATCCTGACCTGAACTGAAGGCAGACCCTTAACTGACTGAGCCATCCGGCCACCCTCCCCCAATGCAGCATTTTGATATGTTGAATGTCCAGGTGCAGCTTGCCCCTTTGGGAGCAATGGGCTCCTTTTCTTAGAGACTGCTCAGCTCAAACAAGTTCAAAGTTCACCATCTTCCAGAGAGAGATGGCTAATGTGTCCTCTGGGCCTTGCCAAAACTACAGCTCTTTATACATGAGAACCTGAAAACAGGACACTGCAAAAACAAGTGCTGAGCATCTGCAGATGTGAACAGAAGTTGGAGCTGCAGCACCACGTGGCTCCTGGCTAGTTGCCTGGGAGAATGTGGGTGTGCTCATGACAGCAGAGCCCTTACTTGGGTAGCCCTTCACTTCCACTGTGTTGCAATGGGAGCAAGGTGATTTTTTGGTTTTTTTTTTTTTTTAAAGTTTTTATTTATTTATTTGACGGTACACAAACAGGAAGGTGAGGGAGAGGGAGAAGCAGACCCCCGGCTGAACAGGGAGCCCAATGTGGGGCTCGATCCCAGGACCCCGAGATCATGACCTGAGCTGAATCGACTGAGCCACCCAGGTGCAAGGTTTTTTTTTTTGTTTTGTTTGTTTGTTTGTTTTTTTTTTTTTTTTTTTTTTTTTTTTTTTTTTTTACAAATTCCGAGTTGGACAGGCCAGCCTGATCCAAGCAATAAGTATGTGGCAAGCAAGCACCCAGAGTCCAGAATTTGGAAATCACTGTGTTCCTCCTTCCTTGTGGTCAGAGATGAAGTGGTTGCTGAAAGTGGGTATAGGTTTATAAAGAGACCTCAACAAGTGGCATCTTTCTTTCTGCCCACGTGTAAGGCCTTGCCTTCTGTCTTCAGAAGGACTCTTACCTCATTCCACTGCTGAGGCCTAGAAGTCTTTGTGGGAGGTGGATCTGGCTCTGGGCAAGGAGAGAACCATCCTGCGGGGCCAAGACATTCATGTGTTTCATTTTGCATTTCGGTGGCTAATTAGATGACATAATGTTGCTCCCCCATGCCTTCTGTATTGTGGAGAATTTAAAAGTGACATTTGTGTTTTTCTAAAACTCACCATTTTTTTAAAGTAAATTCTAGTTCATTGTCTACACTTGGGAAATACAGAGGAAAAAAAGGAAAATGAAGATCACGTATCCCCTACCACTCATGTTTAGTTACATTCTACCTAGGTTGGTTGGTTATCTTCTGTTTGATTGTTTGTTTGTTTATGTTCTTTCAGAGCCTGAAGGTACTTGTGTGCTAAATCTTTGCAATATCACAGCTTAACTGTATATACAGATTTAGTCCTGCTTCTGTCTACATCGCTAAATAATCTTCACAAACGTGCCTTTCATGGCTACAAACTTGTTTTGCCATGGCTGGCTTTCTCTGTGGTTGGATACTTAGATTGCTTTTTGTTTTTCGTAATTGTAAATTATATTGTACAGAGTATTCTCGTTCGTCCATTATGACCCATACCTCAGGCTTTTTGGCTCTGGAGTGATCAGGTCACACTATGAAGCCAGTATGTGCTACGTAGGCTGCATTCCCTACATGGAAATTGTAGCAGAGGTGACTTTTGTCCTCTCCATAGGGGCTAGTGCTCAAAATGGAAATAATAGTTGCCAAATTTAGGAAGTGCCTTTCTGTTTACATACATTTGGGTCCTGAAAATGGGTGCCATTTGCATCAGCCTTTAATGTTGGTCAGAGGGGTTTCTACTAACAAAGTCTAGGTCACCCTCACACAGCAGCTTGGAGCACCCAGACACTCTGATTTGGGCTCTAATTGATCACGAGGCCTGCTGATCCACGTAAGATCTGATAGAGAAATCGGTTTATCTAAAGAGTCAGCAGAGGATTACTGATGACCCTTCCCTGTGTTAACCAAAGGGCACACTTGCATCTTGGCTGGGATGTGTGTCATGTGATCTTCTTTTCTGATTATGTTTTGTTTTTCTTTGAAATGATGCTTTGTGATTATTTATGTTTATGGCTCCTTATTCATGACTGTCAGCACAGTGGCCAGAGTGCCACCACCTCCCTGGGTCCCAGCTATCAGCAGTGGGTAAAGCCCTTTCAGAAAGTTTGGCTGGTTCTCTGCCATTTACCTGAGGTGCTTTCTGATCTCTCCCCACTGGGCCTAGGCTTCCTTTTCCTCCACTGACTTTGCACTGCTGTCTGCTTTCCTCTAATGCGACAGGTTTTCTCTTCCCTGATGTTCAGTCCCATTTGCCTCCTGGGGCTTCGATGTGCCTCAGCTCCACCTGTAGGAAGTGAGCTCAGGACACCTCCCCCCACCCCGAACCCATGATCGTGGAGGTCCGGCTTCTGGCCACTGGAGGCTGGCTATTCTCAGTGAGAGTCTCAGTAGAAGGCTGCTTCACTGTAGGGTCTTGGAAATCAAAATGCCAAGGACTGCATGAACATCTCTGTTGTTTTCTAGAAAAGAAGAAGCCAAGGAAGGGCAGGCAGTCCCAGGACTGGCGGGAGCGGAGGAACGCCATCCAGCTCACCAACGAGCATACAGTGGAGACCTTGGTGGTGGCTGATGCCGACATGGTGCAGTACCACGGGGCAGAGGCTGCCCAGAGGTTCATCCTCACTGTCATGAACATGGTGAGTCTTGAGTTGGGGTCCTGACCTAGGCAGGCTCTGCTTCCTCCTTGATGAGTGCTCTGTTCTTGTCTTTTGCCCAGCTGAGGAAGAAGCTGGGTTGGGGAATGGAGACACCCACAGCCCCGTGACCCCTGAGCAGAGGGCGTCAGGGGATGCATCCCATGGGAGAGGGCCCACCCACCCACTCTGCCCTAGTGTGTAGTTTCAGTGCCTGGGTCTGCTTGGTGGTTGTACCCGCCCTGCCATTCCTTACCAGAGGTTTGCCGAGATCTTTCCTAAATGCCAGACCTCCTCCAGGGGGGATTCGAAGTTGGGCGAGTCAGTCCCTGTTCTAAGGAGTCAATGGTCTTGTAGAAGGAATCAGGATCCAACTTGAATGTGAATCAGCACTTTCTGTGTGCCATGAGGGCTGGACGAGAGTCGGGGGAGAGGTTGTCTGGTTGAGAGCACAGGGAAAGAGCCATAAAGCCTGTGTCTACCTCTCTGGTGAATGGGAATAGTGGGAAGCTTTCACATGATGGGTGCAGGGGGAGGGCCTGCATTCCTCAGTTTAGACACAGAAAGACTTCTGCATGCATCTCAACCCCACACATCCATCCACTCCCCTAACAAGCATTTTTGAAGCCCACTGGCATTGTGTTAAGGTGTTGGGGATCCAGGTGCAAAACAGACCTGGTCTGTTCCTCAGAAGGCAGTGTTATCAGCAGACAGATAAAACCCCGTAGAAATATCTGCAGTGACCTCTGGGGTCCAGGTGGAGGGCTGCTGAGTGATCTTGCAGCATAGAGTCTTCAAGGAAGAGCTGACCTTTGAGCTGAAAAGAGTAAGAGTTTAAGAGTTTGCAAGATCAGGAGAGGGGTGGCAGGTCCCGCAGGGGTTGTGGTAGGAGTTACTTTTGTGGGAGGGCAGGTGGTGTGACATGGCTGCAGGAAGGAGTGGGTGAGCTCTAGGGGTTTGGGTGGACACTGGAGTGGGGCATTTGGAGAGGGTGTCCTGAGGAGTGGTGCTGCTGAAGTAGGGAGGAGGAGCAGTCCCACAGTTGTGCTTGGTGGGGACTGGAAATGGAGAGTGTGTGGGAGAGAGGATCTGAACCACAGGGCAGGAGTGAGAGCAGAGGAGGTGCTAGCCCTGGTTTCTGAGAAATATGTGTTCATCTGCACAAACCCAAGTTCTCCTGGTGGCTGGTTAATGATGGGTTGCTGTGCTTTGGTCTGCCCAGAGGAAGCCTGGGAGGAGGGCTAGTGGGGCTGACTCCACAGCAGACTCTTTCATCTGTAGTTAATTTCATCTCATTTATTTTTTTTAATTGTCCGGGGCACAAATGCCAGGAATAAACACTTATTATGGCAGCTAAAGTAGTAATGAGGCCAGACTTCCACTTTGATATTTTCTTTCATAATTTGATCGTCAGGATGGGGGCAGGGAGGGGGTGGTGCTATTGCCCCCAACCCCCCCCACAGTGGTATGATGAAGGACAGGGACTGAGTGGTCCCTATACCTGGCTTTAATCCAACACTCTTCACTCCCCTTCCACTGCTCGCACGAAGAGGTTGGAGGCTCCAGACCCCATGGCTGAGGGCAGATCTGGGGCCAACCACATTAATTTGGGATTTAGATATTTCTTGATGAAGCCTGCCTAGTAAGGGCGGGGTCATTGTGGTGAAGGGCATTTGGCATGTGTACACTAATACTGAACCCTTTAGCCTCCTCCTGTGGGGTTTCTTGGCCAGTCTGATGAGGCCAGAGAACAAAGGAAAGCAGAGTTTCCTTGACCCACTTGTACAGACTCTCAGCACTGGGAACTAGTTTCTATTGCTCTAGTGGTGGGCCACCATTCAGCAAGTTTAAAGACAGGTTATGTTCAGACATTACACTTTGTTATGAACAAGACCACCCTCTGCCACTACCGTCCTTCAATCTCTTAAACCCTAGTTTTGAAAATCCAAAGAATTCTGTTCTTCCTGTGGCTCTTCTGGCGAAGGGATTACTGTTAGGAAGCAAGATCTTCTTTAAACCAGGAGGATGGGAAAGGATTGTGGGTGGGATGAGGAGCCCTGTCATTAGACAGGTCTCCAGGTGCAGTGAGCAGGAAGGTGAGGCCAAGCAGCCCGCCTCTCTCCTGTCAGAGTGTTTACTGTGATCCTGCTGGATTGAAATGGCTGTGTTTCCCTAGTTTTTGTGGATTTGGAAGGGAATCTGCTAGAGTGGTTGCCACCTTCCTTGCACCATGTTTCTCTCCAAGCTGTGGGAAGTAGCTTTGGATGGTGACATCCAAGCTCCCACACCCTTCCCACTTTCCCGCTTGGGTCTGAGTAGAGACCTGTTCACCCACGCTTGTGGCTCAGACCCTTGAGGCTAAATCTAGACAGGCTCCTATCCCCCAAGGCAGGCCTGGACACTTGTTAGGGCCTTGGTAACACATTGAAAGCTGGGTGAATTTGGTGTTATGTGTTTGCTTACAATTTTCATAAGCATCTTATGGTTGTGATGTATGAATTAGGTCAGTGTCGTGGCACTTGGGTGGCTCAGTGGTTGAGCATCTGCCTTCAACTCAGGTCATGATTCCGGGGTCCTGGGATCAAGTCTCATATTGGGCTCCCCACAGGGAGCCTGGTTCTCCCTCTGCCTATGTCTCTGCCTCTCTCTCTGTCTCTCCTGATGGTACGTGCCTGAGAGGAATGGAAGGAGAGGATGTCTGTGATGGCAAGCTGGGTTGTTTCTCCTTCTCCTCATACCTGGTGTATTTCATTATATTTCTGTCCTACAGAGGAGATGGAGGCTTGCGGGCAGTGCTGTGGTCAGGGAGCACAGCCAATGAGCAAGTACACAGCAGGGCAAGCACTCAAAGTCAGGGCCAAGGGAGCCCTGTCTCACCTTTCAGGGTCACAAACATGTCTGGGGCCTATTGTTGGTCTGCATCTCCACCCTGGACTGCCCATCATTGTCTCTGGGCTTGGCAACAACTCTGTTCAGACAAAAGAGGGTGACTGCAGGAGCTGCCTTGCTGGGCTCCTCACATTCATTTTCTTCCCTCTTGATTCCTTGCCACAGAAGGACCAGCAAGAGCTTCATCTGCAGAATTAGGGCCTTGTTACTAAGCAGCACTATGCCCTCCTGTGGCTTTCCATATGGGTGATGGGGCATACCCCCCTGTGTTGCACAGCCCTCCCAGGCTCTGTAACTGGGACCACCTGCTTGCCCTGGACTTTATTCCCTTCTCCACCTCAACAGTAAACTCCTGGCATGTTGGCCTCTGTTTCTCAGGGGCCCAAGCTCTTCTGTGACTTACAGCCTTTCTTTGTCAGTAATCCTCCTTATCAAACTAGCTTCTCTATCTTTGCGGGCTCTGGGCAAATGTCCCCTTGGAGGGGCTTTCCTTGCTGACCGTCTGAAAAGGCCAACCTGTTTTCTTTATCCTTGCAGTCTGCTTTGTACTTGGTCCTTATCTCAAGTTACAATTCCATATTTATTTGCTTTTGAAGAACCACCTTGATATGAAGAATTTTCTTATGCTATTGAATTTAAGCTGGTATAAATTCAAATTAGAGGGGCCTGGGTGGCTCAGTGGTTGAGCATCTGCCTTTGGGTCAGGGAATGATCTCAGGGTCCTGGGATTGAGTTCTGCACTGGGCTCCCCACAGGGAGCCTGCTTCTCCCTCTAAGTCTCTGCCTCTCTCTCAGTGCCTCTCAATAAATGAATAAAATCTTTAAAATAAATAAATTCACATTAGCATATTTACAACTTTAGGATGTTAGGTCTAATACCCACAGTAACCACAAAGAAAATAGCTACAGAACATATACAAAAGAAAATGAGAAAGGAGGGCCACTTGGGTGGCTCAGTCAGTTAAGTGTCTGACTTGATTTTGGCTCAGATCATGATCTCAAGGTTCATGAGATTAAGCCCTGTATTGAGTTATGAGCTGGGTGTGGAGTCTGCTTGAGATTCTCTTTCTCCTTCTCTTTCTGCCCCCCCCCATCTCTCAAAAAAAAAAAAAAAAAAGAAAGAAAGAAAATGAGAAAGGAATTAAAAAGCTTCACTATAAAAAAAAATCACAAAAAAGTAGCAGGAAACGAGGGGCAAAACAGGCTATAAAGTATATAAAAAACAAATAGTAAAATACAGAAGTCAGTCCCTCCTTATCAGTAATTACCTTCAATGTAAATGGATTGAATTCTTTAAAAGATCAGGATGGATTAAAATATGTATCCAACTATATACTGTCTGCAAGAGACTCATAGTTCCAAAGACACAAATAAGTTGAAAACAAAAGGATAGAAAAAGATATCCCATGCCAATAGTAGCCCTAAGAAAGCAGAACTGGCTATACTAATATTGCACAAAATAGACTTTAATCAAAAAAAGAGATAAGGATACTATATATTAACAAAGGTTTCAATACAGCAAGAAAATACAACAGTTGTAAGTCTTTTTGTGTCTAATTACAGACCATCAAAATATGTGAAGCAGAAATTGCTGGATTTAAAGGGAGAAATATATAGTTAGATAATAAGAGATTTCAACCCCTCCACTGCCAATAGTGGATAGGACACCTAGGCAGAAAATAAGTGAGGAAATAGAGGACTTGGAAAAACATGATAAACCAACTTGATCTAACAGACATACAGAACACTCTACAACAGCAATAGGATAGTCCTTATTTTCAGGCGCACATGGGACATTCTCCAGGATACAGCACATTTTAGGCTGCAGATTAAGTCTCAACAGATTTAAAAGATATCATACAGGGCGACCTGGGTGGCTTGGCGGTTTGGCGCCGCCTGGGGCCTGGTCCTGGGGACCCAGGATTGGGTCCCGCGTCGGGCTCCCTGCATGGAGCCTGCTTCTCCCTCTGCCTGTATCTCTGCCTCTCTGTGTGTGTGTGTCTCTGTCTCTGTCTCTCATGAATAAATAGATAAAAATCTTAAAAAAAAAAAAAAGGATATCATGCAAAGTATCTTCCCCTGACCACAATGGGATTAAGTTAGAAATGAGCAAC